TTTTACTCAAGCCATCCTCGATCTTAATCTCCGTGGGCCATAACTGATTCACCCGAATACCTCAAACTAAAACTGACATAGCACCTAGCCGTGCAATCAACTACTCAACAGCAGACTCCCCCACTTGGCTCGAAGCTATAAATCAAAATACACTCAATAACGCATAACGCTTATACTCTATTGATGCCATTATACCATAGTGAGGTTAAACTCAAATCCTTTATAAGCTTGTAAAAACACAGATCATCAAGAATTTTAACTCTTCTACAAATCTCGCATTCACTCTCGCAACAGTTAAGCCCACTCTCTTAATCGACCCAAAAATTCAAATTTCAACACTTATATTTCACTTGTACATGAGATCTTCTAACAGTCACATAAGGATCACACAACCCCAGAACACTTCGCAGGAGATAACCCACCTGCTTTGCCCCCAATTAACATTTTTGTATACCTTCCACTGTCATAAACTGTACGCAGTAACTTAGTCTTCCTGAGTCTTAACTCATACCGCAACATGAAATTTACTTTACTCTCAACTGGGAAACATGAAAAAGATCCTTCACATGCCCATAACTCGGGGCTATACCTCGAATCAAGGTGGAATTCAAGCACCTAATAGTCTTCTATCCTCCAGCAGACCATTCTCGTCGCTTCCAAATCATATGGGTACATCTCGCAGTACTAACATACTCATCACATAGCTACCTAGTCGTCATCTCCACTAACAGGGACACTATCGAACATATAAGTTCAAAATACTTGCTCACACAATCAGCACCTCGGTGCTCAAGCCATAGGTAAAGATTCGACCTCAAGTCCTCCAGACTGGCCCACATCAACTCACAGAGATCACATCTCGCCCCTCGATCAAGAAATCACAAGCCATCAATGCACATCTGATATTGAGTGCTCATGCACGCATACGAACGCGTGGAAGGAATTTCAAGAGTCACATTTCAAGCTGAATCAAGGACACACGATAAGAATTCAAGAATGTGAAGTTTTCCTAAAGGTTATGCAACCTCTCGAGGATAAATACAGATTTCTCTGTACCGATCCGCGAGACTCTACTAAACCTACTCATGACTCGTGAGACCTATGTAACCTCGGCTCTGATACCAACTTGTCACGACCCTAACCCCGAACCCGGTCGTGATGGCGCCTCTCGTGAAGACAAGGCTAGCCAATCAAACCCAATTTGCTTTTTAAAACAGTTAAACAATATAAAAACAGTCTAAACATGATTTAATGATAATAAGTAGTGGAAATACAACCTGACACAGCGCTAACCGGGATGTCACAAGTTACGAGCATCTACTAGGGTATAAATACAACTGAAGACCTGGAGTGTACAAATACAAACTAATGAAATGAAGAGAGAGAAGAGCAATGTTGCGAACGCCGGTAGCTACCTTGCTAAACTCCGATGACCCTGCCTTCGATCAGCCAAAACCCGCTACCGGGTGTATAAATACCTGAATCTGCACGCAAGGTGCAGGGAGTAAAGTGAGTACTCCAACTCAGTGAGTAACAAATGTAAATAAAGACTGAAGGCAAAAAATCACGTAAAGCATATCAAGATGCTGTATAGAAGCAGTCCAAAACTAGTAAGGAAAATAGTGAGGCTATAAAAATCTCTTAAAAGTAATTTACCTCAGTTTAAACTTCTTTAAAAATGAGTTTTTTAACAATTACGCAAATAAATGCAAAACTGTTTGTGCATATAAGCATAGAAAATCCGCCCCTCGGGCACAAATACCATAGTTTAACAGGTAAAATGACAAGTAAATATGAAAGGTAAACATATAAAGGTTCGCCCCTTGGGCACAATGTCAACAACTCTGCCCCTAGGGAAATATCTCAGAACAATAACAGCCCCTCGGGCAATCACATAGAGTGGTACCAGCCCCTCGGGCAATCACATATAACAATACCAGCCCCTCGGGCTATCATATGGTACAATATCATCCCCTCGGGCTATATCTCACATCACAATGGGTACCCGTGCTCATTGGGGGTGTATAGACTCCGGGAGGGGACCCTTACGGCCTAAGCGCAATATCAAGCCAACTCGTGGCATCAAATCTAGGCCCTCGGCCTCATATCAGTCAAGCCACCTCGTGGTGTATATATCTCAGGCCCTCTGCCTCAAAAACGATATCAACAAGCCACCTCGTGGCGTACATATCTCAGGCCCTCGGCCTCAAATCAGTATCAGTGTTTCCTCACAACTAGGCCCTCGGCCTTACTCAGTCAGAAATACTGACAAGCCCCTCGGGCATTAGTAAAACAGTGTATTTCAGCCCAAAACATTATTTAAAATATCATTTAAGTCTTAAAACTGAGTAAACATGGCTGAGTAGTAAAACAGTGGAAAATAATATAACTGAGTTAAACAGTGAGGAAATAGTAATTAAAATCCTCAAAGGGTTCAAATAGTTGGCACGAAGCCCAAATATGGCAAACATCCCAAATCATGAAGATAGAAAATAAGTTTCAGTCAAATACGCGAAAAAATCATCAATCGGAACGGACCAAGTCACAATTCCCAATAGTGCATGACCCCACGCTCGCCATCAAGCGTGTGTCTCACCTCAATATAGCACTACGATGTGCAATCCGGGGTTTCAAACCCTTAGAGCATCATTTACAATCATTACTCACCTCGAACCGGCTATATCTCTAGCTCGCGACGCCTTTTCCCCTCAAATCGGCTGCCACGCGCGTCGAATCTATCCAAATTCAGAACGAATATGTCACCATATGCCAAGGGAACAAAGCCCAAGCGAAAACAATCAAAAAATACCAAAAATCCTGAAATTAGCAAAACCCGAGCCCCGGGCTCACTTCTCGAAACTCAGAAATTTTTACATCATTAGATTCCTTATCTCCCCACGAGTCTATGCATATCAAGAATACCAAAATCGGAGTTCAAATGACCCCTTAAATCCTCAATCTAAGGCCTCTTAAACTCAAGCGCTAATCCTCCATTTTTAGCCCTTAAATTCCTTTAATTTCAGTCTAAATTCTGAAATACCACCATAGAAATGTGTTTTAGATCCGAAACTCCTTACCTTAACTAAGTCTCTTGATTCTCGCTTCAGAATCGCCCCAAAAGCTCCAAGGTCGAAGTCAAAAATGGTAGAATAACCCAAACTCGCGAATGAAATAACATATATGCTCTTTCCAGCCCTTTCCGCATCTGCGGTCAAAGATCCGCTTCTACGGTACCACATTTGCGATCTAAACCTCCGCTTCTGCTGAATCACTTAAGGGACCAAAGTCGCTTCTGCGACTAATCTCCCGCATCTTCGACATCGCAGATGCGGTCACCATACCGCTTCTGCGGTCTCTGCCCATCTAACCCTTTTTCTCTTCTGCAAAAAATCATCCGTATCTACGGTGCCGCATCTACGGTCCCCAAACCGCAGATGCAAAAATACCAGAAGCAGCAAATCTGAAACTGCAACCAACATCTAACTTCTCCGTTAAGCACCCAAAATCACCCCGAGGCCCCCAGGACCTCAACCAAAAGCACAAACATATCCTAATACCTCATTCGAACTTGTTCCAATCATCAAAATACTTCAAACAACATCAAATCAACCAAAATACCTCGGATTCAGGCCTAAGTCCTAAAATCTTTCGAAATACGCTTTTGATCAAAAACCAAACCAAACCACGTCCGAATGACCTGAAACTTTACACACACATCCCAAATAACATAACGAAGCTACTGCAGCTCTCGCAATTCCATTCCGTCCTCTATATCAAAATCTCGCCCATCAACCGAAAAACGTCGAAATCTCAATTCAAGCCTAAACCTTCCACGGACTTCCAAAATGCATTCTGATCACGCTCCTAAGTCCCAAATCACCCATCGGAGCAACCAAATCATAAAATTTCCGATCTGAAGTCATATACAAACAAGTCAAATCTTGGTCAAACATTTCAAATTTCATGCTACAAACTGAGAATTGTTCTTCCAAATTCGTTTTGATTTCCCTGAAAACCCAAACCAACAATTTATACAAGTCATAATACATCACACGGGGCTAGTCCTGCCCGAAATCTGGCGATCAAAGTGCAAAAGCTCAAAACGACCAGTCGGGTCGTTACAAAAGAGAAGTGAATTTAACATGTGCTCCCTCCGTCACTTTTACTTGTCTATTATGGACTTTGCACTCCCCTTAAGAAATAATAAATAAGGTGCATAATTTATCATGATACCTATATTAATTGATGCATATTTTTAATGGATTTGAGAAAATAATTTGAAATGAATAATTAATACTATGAATATAATAGGAAAAAAATTGTCTTCTCTTGATATGCTAAAAGTGATAAGTAAAAGCAAAAATTTATTTTTAGAATACTGGATAAATAAAAGTGAACATAGTGAGTATCTAGCAACCGTTTGCACTTTGTGGTGTTAAAAAAACTGCATTAATAAATCATTTTTTCTTTCAAAAACTACAGTTGTCTTTTATTGTTGTGTGCTTTGACCTGCTTTATACTTCTAAATGCTTTTCACATGTAAATAGATATCCTCTTTTTTTCTTCTTAGAAAAAAAGGGACCACCAATTAATTTCTTTTTCTCCAACGTCTCTACAAGAAAAGGTTCTTTATTGGAAAATTTTAGAGCATAGCCATCAACAAAAGTCGATGTAGTTAACCAAAAACCAGCCAAAGGCAAGCTCAACAAGGAAACCATGCAAAATATTATTCTTCACGTCCCAATTTTACGAGAATTAATTTGACTAAATTTTAAAGTTAAATTTAATTTGAACTCAATATTTTAAAACTAAAGTCTAAATATTGCACAACTATACAAAAAGTAGCATAAATTAAAATTCTTCTTATATTAATATGATAAAAAATACGTTTTAAAATATTGATCAAAATTCATACATGTGAATTTCAAGAAGCGAACAAACAATAAATAATTTGGACCAAGGGATCGCACCAAATAAAAAACATATTCATCAAAAGAGTGTACCATCCATGTGTATTCTTCTTCAAATAAAAAACTAAAGTAAGTATCATGAATTACATCTGATTTCGTCAAACTACTATTCTTGATATTACCATTAAAACCTGTTACTAACATATATTTATTAAATTTTTTAAAAGTATGTCACCAAATTATCTTTCTGTTTGGGACAAATTAGGCGTAGTAATATTTGACCAAGTTTTTCTGCCCCTTTTTTCTTACGTGAAGATGCGAATTAATTTGTAGTATTAGAAATATTCAGACATTATTTTTTTAATCATGTCCAAAGTGGCTCCCAAGCTGCATATACACTGTTATCTTCCAAAAACAGGCTTGTGTTGTTTCCATAGTCATTGCTGCTGCTGCTATTTTCTTGATATTCTGTTACTTCCATGCAAACTAAGGCTAGCAAATTAGAATTTTGGCATTTTAAATTCAAGATTTCTGCTTGTGCCTTGGCAAATTCTGCTTGAAGCCCACTTATTTGCTTTTGCAATTGGCAAATAACACCAGCACAACCATATACTGGATCTCTGATTCTGGCATTTGCCTCATACACCATACTATTCACAGCATCTGCTCTTTGTTCCTCTGGTAGCTCCTGAAAATTTAGAGGTTTTCAATATTCATCAACTTCAAAAAATTCCTACTTTTAAAAAAATTAAAATTAAAAATATTATTGATAAATTGAAAGGTGACTTTAATGACAACCTTTATCTATATCAAGAATATTACTCATCAATATTCATCAACTTCAAACAATTATTTCTACTCTTTTTTTTTTTTTAAATATTGATAAATTGAAATGGGAGTTTAATGACAACCTTGATCTATATCAAGAATATTACGCATGATTTCAGCTATTTATTTAGCTGTATGCAAGTGATCAAATAGGATATCTGTGAAAAAAATTCTTTGTTTTTTTTGTTCACTTGTGTTACAAGAACATNGGTGGGGCTGGCAAACATCCAAAACCGCCAAAAATCAAGAAAGTTCAGCTGTGTACTTGTATCTATGTTCACATCTCAACACATGATGAATGAAAGTGAAAAGAGTTCTTTAATTTTTCAACACTGATTAGATTACTTAAAAGATAATTATCAGTATTTGTTTATAAAAACTAAAATTAGTAACCTGAAAGATAGGTAGATTATCCTCTGCAACATATTAAAATATACTAATAATGTAAAAAAATTCTTTACACTATAT